TCCATACGGCATAGCGTATGACTTATGAGAATGTTGAAATTCTTTCATTAATGTTTTAGTGAAGTCCATCCACTGGCACTTCCAGAATAAAATATACCACTGCAAATCCGCATACACCTTCTCCATCCATCCCAGCCATCATTTCCACAAAAGTAAGTAAATTTAGTGGCATTTATAATGCATATGTACTAAAGAACTGCATTAGAGGGCTTTCCTTTTACTTATTCTCAGAGCAGTGTGAGCTATGATCCCGGCTCTTTCAGAGAGCATCAGCTCTAATGAGCTTTAAAAGATCATGTCATTTTCAGGATCCAAGCTTTCCTTTCCTCCTCCTTTGCTTTTTATCTCAATTACCACTGTACCATGGGGAATGCAATTCATCTCTGAATGGACCAAAGTCTTTAATGGTGCTCTCTCTTGAATTTAGCCTCTACAGCAGTGCTTTGATAGGCGGCGAGGAAAAGGGTCTGCTCAGCGTGATTAAACACTCCTGTCCACTGCCAAAAATGCAGCATACGTACTGCTCCATTGCTGTTTTGTTTGTTGCTGTATACTGAACCCGTTTATCTTCCTCCTGATCCTCTTCGTCCTCCTTTTTCAACTTTCTCTACCCCCTCTTTCTGTGTACCAGACCAGTCATCACATATAATGCGACAATACATAATCATGTTCTGTTATGCAACAGTTAAACATACATGGCAGCAGTATTAACGCACATACAGTACAGAGCCATAGGGTGATGTGAGATATAACCCATCACGATGAATCAGCTGTGCCAGCTGCTTTTATTTCCACAGTCTTGATATTTGGGGGCAGGAATCTGAAGTGTTTGCTCTGAAATGATTATAAATATGGATTGGATGACGCCTTGACAGCATTGGCCAAATATTCAAGATGATTGATGTGCCCGCATTCTTTTTATGTAGTCTTCCATCTTCTATGCTAATATCTTTTAGAGGCTGAATACCATTCATCCTTGTTTAGCGAATGTAAAAAAAAAGGGGGGAAATGGGCGCTGTGCTTAGGTAGCATTTCTCTTTAATGGCATCATTTTTGTATTAATTTTGTTAGCTTGACAAAGCCATTATTATCTTATTGAGTTTTTTGAAGTTTCTAACCTGAGACTAAACATTTAATATCTAAACCTAACTACATCCACCAAATTCAGCATAGTCTTGTTGCCTGTTCTGGCAGTTCCCCGTAGTTGAAGAGTAACTTCCATTGAAAAATTCTGACTATAAAAGCCATTTTACACAGCATGTTCTCAGTTTATTATCAATGGGATGAAGGCAGCCAGAGCTTTCCAAGCTCATTCGCAAGTATCCTGCTGGTGTGCACACCGCGCATGATCATAATTTTCATCTTTTTGTGGCTGCTGCTTACTAATAAAGCATTTAGTTCTTATATTGCCGAATTGCCATATATGTACAAAATCGATTTCTTGATTTTCCATACAGTGGCAATCACTATAATAGGGAGTAGTGAATGAGTGAGTGACTGTGACTTTGGACAGTAAATGTTCACACCCAATTTATTTAGTTTGTATTCTGTTTTATGGAGAATAACATTTATAGAGAAAACTGCAAACGTCCCCTTATGCCGGGTACAGACTACACGATTTTAGCCCGATTTTGCCACGATTAGGAAGCAACGTGTAGTCTGACATGTTTCTTGTCCACGACACGACAAGATTTTAGGTGTCAAAATCGTGTAATCTGACACAGTGACTATCGTGACCGACAAAAATATTGTGTAGTCTGAAGCGGCATAACACTCATCACACCATTACAATTATTCTAATCCTTACAATATCTTACTATTTTATCTGGGGTATGTCAGTAAAGTGAAAACGTGACGAAAACCTAAGTTTAGCTTGAAAAGAAACTCTGCAATTTTGGCATCTCTGTTGAAACCCAAATCTTGTAAAAGCACCATTGTTCAGTTGTTACTGCTGTCTGTTTCTGCATATTTTGGAAATTCTTGGAATTTTGGCTTGCAATTCTATGCCCCAAACTCTCACTGATGGCTGAACTGGAAAGAAATGGACAGATATGAGCAGATCGCTCTAAATGTTTTGATGGTTCCTGGGAGGCTTTTTTTTTTTTTTTTTTACACTTTTTGGGGAGATAAAGCCATGAATGGCCTACTTATAGAGGCCAATGTACAATAAACTGGGTTAAGAGAATGTATTTTGACGTAAACTTCACCTTTAACTTTATTAGCTATCATTTACATGCAGCACAGAATGCATTATTTACATATGCTAGCATGGGGCTGAAGCAGTATCTCATTTATATGGCAAATGAATGCAAAGCTTGCTGCCCATCGTGTACTGTGTAAAATGCCATTAATTCCTGCTAGAGCTTTCAAGCTGTGTTCACCAAACTCAGCACAGTACTTCAGGCTGTTCTGACTTAGCAGGCTTTATTTTTTCAAATTGATCAGACTTGATTGTCCTGTAGTGAAAAGCCTTCCATCCATCCATTCATTCAAGCTTTAAACTATTTAAAAATTTCAAGCAAGGTTTTGTCTAGCCAGCGTCTGAGTTTGTCGTGACAAATTCTCTTTTTCTAGTTAACCTATGCCTCTGAATGTGACAAGCCATTTAGTGTTTGTCCTGATGAGTCATTTTAGACCTGCATGGTCCAGTGCATGATGTGGCATAGCAATGCCAATCTATCTTCCTCTGAAAGCTGGCCATAGTTGGATGTTTTCTTTTTTGCTTTTGTTCATGGTCTTTTTACCTATTCAGTAATAATAGGACAGTTAAGACCAGACAGGAGCGTGGATGGCTGTTTACTGACATGGGATCCATTCTCCATGAACACAACTGCTTTCTATGTGTCACACACACATGCACAAGCCACTGTACCATGGCTTTGAATACTGTAGCAGGTGCTTATAGCACCTATATTTTATACCATGTCTGTTTTTATTTCTATTTGCCAGTGTGTTTGTTTCATCAGTTTCAACAGCTATTTCCACAAACCAGCTTTACTATTTTATCTAGCAAGTCCTCAAAAGCATTATAGCTGGATTCAGGCTTAAACACATACGTTTGTATAAATTTTTTACATTTTGAAAGAGCACTTGCATGAGAGGAAGAGCTTTATAGATCAGCACACTAAAGGTTTGAGTCTGCACTTGGGGCTTGATAAATGTTTATGGTGCACCAAGAGCTCAGCAATTACTCCTCTATGAAGTTATGATACGGTCATGTTTTATTGAAGGCCTGATATTGAACTGTGCTTTACAGTGTGAACATTTTTAGAGGTACTATTGTCATTTGAAACATTTAACACCATTGTGATAAAGACTGATTGCCATCTGTGGGTTCAGTAAGGAATGCTGTCAAGATGCCAAGACGAAATGTTCCTGCCTTGATTAAGTGAGCTGCATCAGGGATCCACACTGCAACTAAAATTGTCACAAATGTGGCAAAAATGTACAAGAATAATTTACAATCTAATCACAATTGGTAACAAGTGGGAAAGCTTTGTGTGCATCCATATTCAGTTTTGTCAGATACCATCTTGTGCATACCTGTGTTGAATATCAATGAAAAATGACTCTCATGAACTGGTTGTTTGTAATGAATCATTTGAAATAACAGATAAAACAGTTAACAATTTCAGTCAGATTCAGTGAATCATTTAGAGTTGTTACTGAATTTACAAGTGGCTCCCTCACTGAACTGCCAGGCATTTTTCATGTCCGATTCAAAATGAACCAAGAATCATTAATTGGAAGCTGCATCTAGGGTAGGGTATCTCTCTAATGCCTTTTTCTTTTTTTTGAACACTTCAAGCTTTCCATAGATATATTTCTCATGTCTGTGTGTCAAGTATTCACTGAGTTTCAGTTCATTTTAGTGACGCGTTTCAGAAAGATATTCGCGGAGACCGAGACGGCTGAAAGCACACCGTTTATTGTCTTTATTTTACAAAAGCACAATGTTTTGTTGATATTGTGAGTGTACACAAATAAAAGTGGACCCTTTACAGAGTCAAATGATGTATTACTTTTATGTGTACGATCAAAAATGTCATTTTAAGTTCTTTTCACTGTTATCATGAAAAAATGCAAGTGATTCCGCCGGCGCCATCGTCAAACCCAGGAGGTTAATTAGATGCCATCTTGTGCATACCAGTGTTGAATACCAATGAAAAATGACTCTCATGAAGTGGTTGCTTGAAATGAGTCATTCATTTATAAAGATTCATGAAACAGATTAAATCGTTTAGAGCTGTTACTGAGTTCACAAGTGACTGAACTGCGAGTCGTGTCTGATTCAAAATTAACCAAGAATCGTTACTGTTATAGTTTTTCAGGCATACATGTGTCTGTTTACTGACTGATTGTTTATACGACAATGTATAATTAAAGATACATATTCACAACAGCATTTTGTTGAATAAATTAATAATGGTGTTCTAAAAAAAATCAGATTTTTTTTTTCAAATTAAATAGTTTTTTTAGTTTTTTTTACATTTTTTAAACTAAATAATTTAATTAATTAATAAAATTATTGGTTATTGTTTAAAATGATGTCCAATTATACAGTTTTATACTAAATACAACTAAAATAACACCCTAGTTTATATAACTAAAATCACTGTAGTTTATATTCAAAAGTGTCCCTTCATCACAGATATAGCAGAATGAACTGAAGCATTTCTGAACAACATTTTTGTCAAGCAATTTTGTTATTTATCAACTGAAAAATTATTCGGCTCTTAAATATTTAATTGTTTTCATAATTTCTTTGTTGTCTGGAGCCCTGTATATGCAGAAAAAGAACTGACTTGGGTCATAGTATTGTGCTTTGATTGACTGCTAACTTAAAAAAAAACATAATAAAACTTACATGAGGTCAGTTGACATAATTTCAGCTTGATCCGTGACAGTTACTGCCACTCAAAACCAGGGCTTGCAGTTGTGTTGGCAGATCTCAGCAGGCTTTCTCTCAATTTGATGCAGCCTCTCCTGTCTGTGCACAGGGCCAAACTGCTACGCGGACACAGCGGTGATCCCGGCCGGCCGAGAGGTTAAGATCGACGAATGTACCATCTGCTACTGCACGTATGAGGAGGGCACCTGGCGTATCGAGCGGCAGGCCACCTGCAGCAAGAACGAGTGCCAGCCGAGCTAAGGCTCGAGACCCTCAGCCTTCACCTGGACAGCTGTGGAGATCTGGATCACCCGTCCCAGCTGTGGTCTGTACGGGCTCAGCACAGCAGCCCTGAGCCTCACACGCAGCCAAGACACCGGCACCGCGTGCTGTTACATCAGTCGGTCATTTGTGACCGTTCATGACTATGAACTCAGAGTGTCCTGTAGCAAGCAGCGGATGGGCCAGTTAACCTGGAAACAAGGCCAAGGGCCAGAGTGCGAAACGCTACTTTCCTCTCGCTACCACAGAGCCTCTGAGTTGGCATCGAGTCATGACGAGTGATGAGATTCATACGTTAGAGTTACATGTATAGTCTTAGGAGGCATGGAGTCGAATTCAACTATATTAATACTTCAAGTTTGTATTGAGATTTATAACCCATATAAAGGATATTTATTTATGTATGTGCTGGTTCAACGATTATGATTGGATTCAGATATCTGATTTACAGTGAAATTATATTTTTTATAGCCACTGTATTTTGAGATGCTGTATCGTTTTAATACCGGATCGACTTCAATCCATCTTATTAGAATGTATAACGCACCTACAGCTGTCAATGTGTCTGGAGGAAACGTTTCGTCAAAGACTGTCAGGAGTGACACATAACATCTAACACAACGTCAGGATAGTCAGCAGAGCAGAATGGATTCGGTCTCCATTCAAGGAAATCAAAAATGGGAAAAAAAAGCAAAAATTTTTGCATTTATGTTAAGTCTCTATTGTGCTCTTATCTGAGGTCCGTTTTGCTAAGACGTGTTTCTATGTGTATGTGTTTTCATGTTCCAAATAAATCGTTACACTCTGTACGCTTGTTTGTGAGTTAGACGCTGATGTGAGGTCGACTAGGGTTAGTTCCCATTTTTAAACGCGGGGCCACGCTTGAAATGTCAAGCAAAAACATGAAAAATGGCACAGATTTCACAAGGAATATTGAAGCAGGAGGAGTGTCTGATCGAGTGGCCGGTCCAATAACTCGATGGTTTAAATTTAGCTGTGTCAATAAAGAGCTCTGTATTAGCAAGTTGCTTTCAATCCACTTAACCCCAGGTCTTCTGTTCTTGCAGTCAGTGTACTAAATTGTAGTGTAAATAGCTCTGGGTAAAAAGCAGTGTTATTTAATATCATTGAGATACTACTATAGTTTTATTTATTTTTTTATATAAACCTGTTCAAAGTTAATGGTCATGTAGGATAATGATCACAGCTAATTAAGTTAGTTCATGTATACTATGCATTAAATAATCACATATGTCTTCCCAGTTCAGGTCTTGGAGCGTCTAATAATGAGACGTTGAGTGGAAACGTCCAAATGTGCAGTGCTGGGCTACTCCAGGACCACCGGACTGAGAAACACTGCTCTAGATGATTCAGTCAGCTCACACACCTCCCACTGATGGAGATGTGAGATACATGTAAGATGCGTCTGTGCTTGAACAATAAGCAACAGTGCCTTGTTGCATACTGCCACTGAATCCAGCTGGATTAAAATAGGGATATTTACTTGTTAAATTAAAATTAAACATGATTTTAAACCAGTTTTTTTTAGTATCATTTATTATTTATCATTATAGTATTTATTAATATTTTAAATTAGCGTTTATTTATTTAGTTTTCATTTTAATTTGAGTTTTAATAATTTTGTTATGTGCTTTTGTCATTTTTATTAGTTTTTTTTTATATTACACTAATTAGCTTTCATATACTATACTATTTAGTTTTAATTTTTCTTTCAGTTTTAGTCATTTTAGTACTTCAGTTTTAGCTTATTTTATTTCTGTTAGTTGTCAAAGAAACAAAGCAATTTTTTAAGTTTAAGTTTTTCATCTAACATTTATGTTTGTATTTTATTTCAGCTTTATTTTAGTTATCAAAATTGTTATTTCAATTACCAAACGAGTTTTTTGTTTTATTTTAGCTTTACTTCAATCACTTGAATATTTTTAGTTTCAGTTTTAGCAACACTGTTTTAAACACTAAATGACATTTCTTCATTAGTATGCACCATGCTTTTAAAATTGACCTTTAATGGGCATGTCAGCAATTTGATTAAGGTCAATATTTTTTATTAAAGGTCAGAATTAAAAACAAGTGCGCAAATGACTCATGTTTTTAGAAGACATTTATCTCCAGTAATTTCTGTAGGGACAGTTTAAGTGTTAACACACAATGACTGCTGTGATTTGCTCTAAACAAAACAAATCAGTGTTGAAAATGCTGATCATTAATTTAACGCAAGAGACGCAAAGTGAAGTTGACAATTTCATGTGACATGATAATATTTGCCAACATCAGGTGTGATATCAAAGATGCACATGCTGAATCTTGCATCAAAGTAATTCAATCAGATCCCTCCTGCCATATGGTAGCTCTTAAACGCAGTTCGGTTTGATGTCAAGGGCTCTGCCGCTAACTGAAAGCTACAAAGAGCATCACACGGGTTAGCTGAGTAGATTACATTACTACATTTGATTCCGTTGCCACTTGAGTGCGTTGAGGCTCTCAGCAAACAAACAGCAAGTCTATCTTCAGGATTTTCTTCAGCAGCCTCATTTACGCATAGAAACGGCAATTAGTTTTTGGCATTAAAGATGAGAGTTTATATTGAGAGGTTTATATTTCCCTCATGATGTTTTATCAGCAGTTAATAGTGTGTCCAATCAATTAAAAGAGCATAAAATTACACAACATAATTACAGGCAGATTATGAATAACGAAGCAGAATTGTGGGTCTTAAAAGAAAATGTTACTTGATTATACAGAAACGAATGTTCATTCAAGAAATTGTTTCAAACGTTTGTTTATTGTGCACCCCTACATGTCTTTAAACCAGGGTTGCCAGACAACCAGCATATCCCTCCTGTAGCAAAACGTGCCTCGGGGCAAGACTGGGGGGATTGTGGGAAAATGAAGCCAGATGCGTGCACATACATGACAGAAGAGCTGATCACCCCCCGGCATCTCCCTGTGCTTCAATCTATCTCTTTCTTTATCTCTGATCACCTCCAATGTCTCTTTCTCCCTCTCGACGTCTCAGCTGTGGGGCTCAATGGATTTGGAATCATGGATTTCTTCATGCATCCTTTTGTAAAATCTGACACCCTGCTGGTTGTGCACAATTGCCATTAAAGTGTCTCTTTTCCCACAGCATCGCTAACTCCCCTCTTCGGCTTTTCTTACATCAATACCCATCTATCAGATGAGAATACTTTTTTATATTTCCCTGTTCAGTTCTTCAGCTTTGACCTTAAAACAAGCTCTTATCATGGCCCATAAAGATATGCATGCTCGGCTGTTTTATGTATCCCACGCACATTTTTTATTTTTTAAAGAAAACAGCCTTTTTCTGATAGTTTCGGCTCTATTTGGTCTTACTAGTTGAGCTCAGTTATTAAAACTAACTCTAATGACTACACAGTCGAGGGCAGCCTGAATTAGTTTGCCCCTTTGAAATGGAATTCCCCAAGTGTCTTTAATACTAGCAACTCCGTCTGTCTTCAAAGGGAACTTTTAATGAGGGAATCTGTTACACAAACTAAAACCGATTACCCTGTGCTGCATCTAAAATTTCCCCTAATATACGAACATCCCCTGGTCATTCAAATGATAGTAAATGCTTCTCCCTTAACAAGCAATGCCATTCATTTCTGGCTTGTAGCCATATTACTTCATACATGGCTAATACCCCATTAAACATGTCTGTCAATCTGTGCTGATTTCCTCTGGACCAAACTGCATTCCCACTGGCTGTGTGAAATCTGAAGGAGTTTCTGACACAGTAAACACAAACCACTGTGCGAAATGATTAATTGAGTGATTTTGTTGGTAATTGTGTTTGTGTAAGGTATAAAATGAACAATAAGCATTTGGCTGTGTTCCATTAGCAACATGTCCACAGATAAAGAGGAATTTCACACTCTGATTTCTAGCCTTCTTACGGCCCCTACACACCACTTCAAATGGCAATTAAATGATAGCAGTGACTCAAAATTAAACACAGCGTCCAATTTATTGAAAACATACAGAAATTTAAACAAATCACCAGTTCATGAGCAGAATAATGTTTTAGCTAAAGGAATCATGTCTTATCAGGAGTAAGTCAAATCAACGTGTATTTAAGTAATGTCACAAGCAAGAGGGTTTTTGTATTGACCTTGACTGTGTTTTTAATAAATTTATAAATTTATAAAAAATATTTATACAGCTGAGATATTATTAAAATATTATATATTATTTTAAAAACATTTATATTATTTATATATTATAAATAAATTAATATTATTTTATAAATAATGTATTCATTCAATGTTTAAACTTAATTTGTTTGATTGTTTTACTTGTTTATATATAGGGTTTTTTCTAAACCCCCTAAGAAGACCATTTGTATAAAGCCAAGCCAACCAAGTAAAGTACTGATCATTGAAAGCAACACGTAAATAAATATGATTTATAAAAAAATAACGTAGCATGTGGTTGAACAATTAAAAATTCTTTCTGACCAGTATTTGGAAAGTAGAATGTCATGTTCTAATATTTATATTATTTCTATATATTTATTATTGTTTTTTCAATTAATTAATTCTATTTTTTACATAATTTTTATCTGAATTTTACACTATTTTTCTTCTGAGAAGGCAATTTGAATACCAATTATATATAATAATTATTTATTTTTGACATTTTATACACTATTTTTCTCTGAACCCCCTAAGAAGACCAACAAGTAAAGTGCACCACTGCACTGTATTTAACCTGATGACTTTTTATTATTTGTTCAACTTTTGAATCTCATTTAATTGTATAGTACGGTGACCAGGGAACATTTCTAGCTCAGTGGGCAATTTACATTTCTAATATTAACTATAAATTCCAGGTCATTTCCAGTTCTGTGTATTCTGACCATGGTAACCATGTGACGAGCTATTGTATAATATTCTGTCATACTACTCATCAGATTAACTCACGGCACCCTCGTTCCCCTCAAACTAAAGCTCATCTGTGAAGACACAATGCTGCTGCTCTCGCGGTCCCTCCTCGGGGTTGTTTACTCTGGTCCAGTTTTCGACAGCAAAACTAGTGCAAGCAAGTAATTAGCAGAGGAAGATGAGCGATAACACAAAAATAGCGAGCAGACCCCTCTGTTTGTCAAAACAAACACCACACAATTGAGGCGACGACCTGCTGGTCTGTCTTGACACATGAGGTATTATTTCACTTCACAAAAAAAAAATGGGGCCATTTCTGTGGACAGCTACAGCTGGGAACAGGCGGCCAAAAAAATCAGAGACGTTATGCTGTACTGGAAAGTGACCAGTGAAATCGATATGCCTGGTTCTCACTGGTCCAGTAGCGCCAGCTGTGTGTCTGTGCTTGCCGTCAGACTGTTGT